GACATCTATATCGTTTTGTAACACAAGAACAATATCAATGTCGTTATTAAAATCAGTGAAGCAATGTGTATTTAATGCTGAAACGATATCTAAATCATTTTGTGTTTTAGGAACGATTTCAATGTCGTCATGTTGGGCGAGATTAATGTAAACAAAACTCCAACATTCACCATCCTCATATCAGCAAGAGCAATGACATTTCCAGTCATGCTATAACCTCCATAGGCACCCACAAACAAGAAATGAATATAAAAAATACTTCCATTATATGCATATGACCCTCCAATTCCAAGAACCCAATGATATAAACAATTGATTCTTCAAGTCAAATAACTACATTTTCAAGAAATCAAGCATATATTAGCAGATTTATCAAAACAAAGAGGCTAAAAACCTAGAATTTGAATTCAAGTAATCGAAGATTTTCAACAAATAAGCTGCCTCCAACCAAGAAAAAACCGAAAATTGATTTTAAGATTTCATGAAAGAGAGAAGATGATGATAGGGAAATGAGGAAATTTGAGAATCGGCCTCTGCAAGAAGAAATGAAACCCAAAATTGATTTAGGGTTAAATAGAAATATAAAAGAGGAATTAGGGCAATAATGTCTTTTTGTATACAAGGATATTTTAGTCATTTACAAATTCATTTTTTATTTTTTGGTATATTTAGGCCTTCTAACTAAAAAAACATTGTTATTGGACTATTTAAACTAATAGTTTGTTTGACTAGGCTTTTTAAATGAAAGCCCCGAAGAAACACTTTTATTCTAATACTTATATTAAGCTAAATTAACATTTAAAACAAGACAAGTCAAATTTTTATTTTGACACGAGATTAAGCAAAAAGAGTCCACTTAAAATTATAAGTGATAATTAGGTCATAGTTGAGGAGTGGAAAATTCTCATTCCAATAGAATATGTTAGTTGAGATCATGCAAATAAAGAGAGGTAGTGGCGCTGCATGCCGCCTGCACTTGGACCCCTACCCCCACTGACACTGGCTTTTAATGTTTGAGGACCAGAATTTAAGTGCTCAACGTGAAACATAACATTAATTTCACGTACAATTAACTTCTATATTGCATCAACCATCGACGCTATGCCGAACAGAGCTTTAGAAACCAAACTTCACTAAAAATAAGAAAAAAATATTGTATTGTACCACGTCAACTATATTGCAGATGATTATTAAAAAAATGATTTATTTACCAATAAAAAGACAAAATAAAATCATATTAGGATCCATCGTATGCTTTGACAATATAACATGACAACCAATACAGTCGCTAAGTATGACAAAGGGAACCCTTTTTTGCATCTATTTAACTGCAACATGACATTCTTATGAAGTATCCAAGTTATGGAATCTTCACTCAACCTCCTCCTCCTCCTCCTCTTCCTCGCAGTATGCGGCCGCGTATTGGCGGCAACACCGCCTTCGGCTGCCTCTTTGTACCCCGAGGAAGCTCTTCCCAAAAAATCAGGCTACCTAACAGTAAACTCCACCACAGGTTCTGCCATTTTCTATGCATTCTATGAAGCCCAAACTTCCCACAACAAGATACCAATATCAGAGTCCCCTATCCTCATTTGGCTACAGGGAGGCCCCGGCTGCTCGTCCATGATCGGGAACTTGCGCGAGCTCGGCCCGTGGATTTTGAATCAAGAGCTTACACTTGAAGCAAATCCAGGTTCTTGGAATAAAATTTTTGGACTTGTTTTTCTTGATAATCCTATAGGAACAGGATTTAGCATTGCTGCATCAAATCAAGAAATTCCAAGAAACCAATATGATGTTGCTAAGCACCTTTTTATTGCAATTCAGAAGTTTATAGCTTTAGACAAATCATTCAAAAATAGACCAATTTACTTAACTGGTGAGAGTTACGCTGGAAAATATATTCCAGCACTTGGATATTATATTATTAAGATGAATTCCCAATTGCCTAAAGAAAATAGGGTGAATTTGGGGGGTGTTGCAATAGGAAATGGATTGACAGATCCAGAAATTCAAGTGTCTATTCATGCTATAAATTCATTTTATTTAGGTTTGATTAATGAAAAACAAACAGTCCTTTTGGAGAAACTTCAAATGGATACAATTGGATTCATTAGAAGAGGCAAGTGGAGAGAGGCAACAGATGCAAGAAATAGAGTATTGGATACATTAACAAACATGACTGGTTTAGCCACTTTATATGATTTCAGAAGGCTAATTCCTTACCAAAATGATGTAGTCGACAAGTTTTTGAACAATATCGAGGTGAAGAAGGCTTTAGGAGTAAAGGAAGACAAATTTTTCGAGAGGTGCAGCAGTGTAGTGAGTCGTGCGTTGCACAACGATGTCATGAAGAGCGTTAAGTATATGGTTGAGTTCTTGGTTAAGAACACGAAGGTGTTATTGTATCAGGGGCAGTTTGACTTGAAAGATGACGTACCCTCGACTCTGGCTTGGGTGAGGACGATGAGGTGGGACGGGATTCCCGGGTTTTTGGAGGCAGAGAGAAAGGTTTGGAGGGTGGATGGGAAACTGGCTGGTTATGTGCAGAAATGGAAAAATTTGAGCCATGTGGTTGTGTTGAATGCTGGGCATCTTATGCCTGGTGATCAGCCCGTGAATTCTCAGGTAATGATCCAAGATTGGCTCTTAGACAAGGAACTGTTTGCTAGTTAGAAAAATGAATTCTTGCCGACCAAATTTAGGAGGGAAACCGGCTGTTTTACCATTTACATTTTCTTCTTGTTGTGATATGATTTCCCATTATCGGGCCAATAGAAAGCCCTAGATGCTCAATGCATCATTTATCATTTAATCTTTGGTTGCACTTAATCCCTGGGCATTGTGTTGGAGGTGTTCCTCCGTGTACCGTTTAGCTATTGCGTTGTTCAATGAAATATGTTTCATCAAAAAAAAAAAAAAATCTTTTTTTAATAAAGCACAATCGCATTTAGAGTTTATTTTTAGGCTCCACCAAGATGGGACAAAGGGGTTAAACTTCCCCCTATCATGATATAAATGAAAATAATTAAATACGAAGGGACATATACCTATCCTCTAGTAAAAGTAATAGCCTCCTGTACAAATGTAAAAAAATGAACAAAAGAACGTAAAGGCCTCTAAACGTGCAACCTTCAAGACAAGTCAAGAGGTTCAGTTTGGTCATATAAGCCTGTCAACAATCAGTAGGCATTAAGCATTTCTTTATTAAAATATGCACAGACCAATCAAATTTATCAAATAGTCACGTTCTGCCTTGATAGTAATTTGCACGAGTCTTACATATAACCCCTACTTGATTTAGATAAAAAAATAAAAAAATCAAATCAAATTTTTAATAAATTTTAATAAAAGTTGATGAATTGTTTGGTTGTAAAGTATTGAATCCTGTGAAATTTGTAATAAAAATTAATTATTAACTTTCACTTAAATTTTAATATTCATAATGAGCCTGTTTGGTACAAATTCTCATTTTCTACAGTAAATCAATTATCATTTTCAACCACACATTCTTCAATAAAATAATATTTTCCATCACATCAATAATTTTTTCTTCTTTTTCAACCACACATTTCCCATCATATCACTATTCAAAAATCAATTCTTTATGAATTTTCATTTTCAACCACACATTCTTCAATAAAATAATATTTTCCATCACATCAATACTTTTTTCTTCTTTTTCAACCACACATTTCCCATCATATCACTATTCAAAAATCAATTCTTCCCCTAAAAATCTCTACCAAACACACATATATGCAATCTAAGATTCACGGTTGCAACGTGAGATTCCTATTAATTTTCCATTAAGAATTAAAGCTTGTTTTGTAAGGTACACTGGTTTTAATATCTATTTTACACTATCAAGTTCTTTCTAGTAGTAGCGTATACGAAGCATGCCCCCTACCAGAAAATCCTTTTCATGTCCCAAAAAGAGAAAATTGACAGGATAGCTTTTTCTTGGGAAAGTACATCACTGTTTGCAATGTCTATGTTGACGAACATATCGTGCGAATTCAGCAACAGCCCATCCAATAATTTCATTTCCAATAATAATTTTTGCCATTGACGTTGAAAACTGTACATCCAAGAATTTTCCGCTGGGTGATTTTCACCAGCTATCAGCGCTATGCCTGTACCTTCATGTTGAAAAAACCAGAACTACTACTAGGGGATAGAAAGAACAAGAATCAAAATTTAGAAGCGCAAAGATTATATACGAGATAGGAGGTGCTCGATGGCAATCTAATTTTTCTTGTTTGAAACATGTTCAGTAGTAGATTAACCATGATATGTATTTGTTGCATTGCGCATTCTTACTATGCCCCCTGTTTGATATGGATATGGATTAAAATTAGATTTTTAGTAGATTTTGATAAAAGTTGATGAAATGTTTGATTGAAAAGTATTGAATCCTGTGAAATTTGTAATAAAAATTAATTGTTAATTTTTACTTAAATTTTAATATTCATAATATATGCAATCTAAGATTCACGGTTGCAACGTGAGATTCTATTAATTGTCCGTTAAGAATTAAAGCTTGTTTTGTAAGGTACACTGGTTTTAATATCTATTTTACACTATCAAGTTCTTTCTAGTAGTAGCGTATACGAAGCGTGCCCCCTACCAGAAAATCCTTTTCATGTCCCAAAAAGAGAAAATTGACAGGATAGCTTTTTCTTGGGAAAGTACATCACTGTTTGCACTGTCTATGTTGACGAACATATCGTGCGAATTCAGCAACAGCCCATCCAATAATTTCATTTCCAATAATAATTTTTGCCATTGACGTTGAAAACTGTACATCCAAGAATTTTCTGCTGGGTGATTTTCACCAGCTATCAGCGCTATGCCTGTACCTTCATGTTGAAAAAACCAGAACTACTACTAGGGGATAGAAAGAACAAGAGTCAAAATTTAGAAGCGCAAAGATTATATACGAGATAGGAGATGCTCGATGGCAATCTAATTTTTCTACAAAATTGTATTTGACTCGACTACAATGATGATAGCGTCCGGGTGAACCAGTTGGACAAGCGTTCCATTTTAATTGAAACTTCTGCATTTCTTCCGAAGTATGACACGGCATTAGATAGCATCACTTCAATATCATGTTTCATAGCCTCCAAACTTCTGTAGTAGTTATTCTCTAACCTAGAATGGATGACTTCCAGAGACAAAGGAACCGGGAACCTGCAAGTTAATGTAGCAAAATTCTCAAATCAATTCTCAGCATTTCCTTGTTTGGTACCTAATAATAATATACTCGGTCAAACCATTTTTATTCAAAGTCTACAAGTGCTACTCTCTTATTCACCACTCATTTCTATCTATTTATAGTTTAAACTGATTATAAACAACTCTCAAACAAGCTTAAGGTGATCTACAGGTAGGGGTACCCCAAGCCCCCCACCTAGGAAATGGTGGTATTATATATATAAATAAATTCTATACAGCAGATATCGAAATCGCATTCTATTAGAGGCAATCACCATAATAGTAATAGGTCTACACAAATGAAGATAATAGAGTGCTTGAATTCTTCGTCACTAATAGCGTGTTAAACTAAGCCAAAAAAGTAAATGTAATTTGGGGAAGTAAAGAGTTGCTTTTTATAAAAGCAAGTATTGGGATAAAAATAAAAATCAAGTATTGGGATAAAAAGGACTCCAAGGAAAGTAAATTCTAAAAAAGTTCAGTTGCTTGAAAATTAACTTCTAAGCTTAGACAGACAGACTTTTGGAACTAAAAGAGCCCAAATAAAGCAACTTCTAAGAAAGTTATGCTAAAACTAATTTTTAAACTAAGACAAGTGTAAGGCTAAGCTTAAAAGTTAATTTAAGGTACTTTTAGGCTTAACAGCTTAAGCAGAAAGATACGTACAATAGAGAAGAGCAAACAAAGTTAGGTGGGGGGGTTTGAATATACACCTGTTAATAAAATTTGTCTTCTGTGAAACTTGTTTCAGTTTGCTAATCCCATAATAATCCTGCAAGGAGAAGGCAAAGAATTTAGGAATCCAATTTCCAACTCAATCTATCAGTCAATTTAAAAAAGTCTCTTTACCTGGACTTTATTTCCAGATTGCTCCAGCTTGGTAAGAGCATGCAGTAGCCTGTCTTTAATATCATTATCCATATGAGGCTGTTCCCAGTGTGTATCAGCATCATAAAGTTCCCAAGGACTATGTTGATGTGTTTCAGTGGCATCGCTTTTGTACTTTACGACATATCTTTCCCATGGACTGTTGGGAAATTCAAGAGATTTGGGCTTCACAGTTAAAACTCGGCCTTCCCACCAACTCCCATCTTCCTCGCCCGCGTTTTTCCACCAGACTTGACATTTATCTCGGGAGGTCCAGTTTCTTTGCACAGCTGCATCGTACCTGCTTCTCTCGACAAGGAAATCTGGAAATTCAGTCACTTCAGGGAGTGTCAGCTTAAATGATTTGCCCACCGCATCAGAAGAAGTATCAACAAATTTAAGTGTCATTTTACAGCAGCTCTCCCCTGAACCTGGACGTGTTGAATACTCCAAGTCTTCAACTCTACAAAATTCTACAGCTCTGATGTTTCCCTTAATTGTTTTCCAAGGGCCCATGTCCTTCAAGTTAAGGTATTTCATATATTCCTGATGGCCCTGGAGAAACAATAAAGCCAATGACAAAGAGCAAAAGATAGACGGCCAACTTTGAAATCAAATAAGAGCCCAGCAGCATATAAAAAGTAGAGTAATGTTATTTATTGTCATGATGATAAAACATCGGTCACGTGGCAGCCCATTATCCCCTCACATTTCTCTCTCTCTCTCTCTCCTCTCCCGCTTTCTCTCATATAAATTGAACTAGACTGCCACATCACCCATGATTTATCATCATGATGATAAATAGCATTCATTTACCTGTCTCAGATACACAACTTCATCCCCCCTCTGGGGAATGTATCGGGAGCCTTCCTCATGTGTGGACAGCAATAACCATGAACTTCTTCCAGAATGATATGATTTCCTTCTATCTGGAGGACTAGTTTCACGAATGTAATAACTGTCTGTCCTATTTCTTGTAGATCTTCGTCGAACAGCAACAACTGAACCTGATCCCCATTCTTCACAGGAACTCTCTTCATCTTTGCTCATCGTCGCCTTTTCAACATCTAATGATTCTGAATCATCCCGAGCTTCCTTAAATTTTATATCGCCACTGCTTGGGACATCTATATCACGGGGAGTCAACCTCAACCGAATGGACCTGGGCCTACGGAAACCTTCATTTGCAGTCTCAGCTCCTTCATCATAATGTTTAGGAACATTAGAAGGACCTGCTTCCATGCTTCCATTGTCACCTTCTGGGTTGCGTCTACCTCGAGAAGACTTTGACCTTCTATAAACAGAAGTAAACATTCTTTTTGGAGAACCCAACTGCCATGAGTCTTCTAAACTGACCAAAGCTTCTGATTCTGGCACAATATCATGCTCTTGAACAACTGAGGGCAGTTCTCCAATGCCATCATAATCAGGAACCTGTAATACAAAATTCTGCTGAGAGTTCAAACTATCGCATAAGTTATCACATGCATCTTTCCAAAACTCCTCTGATGGGGAATCAAAACTAATCTTCCCGAGGCTTTCATGATCCCTTGAAAGAGTACTAGATCTTATTTGTAATTTTGTTGGAACTGGACTTCCATTATCTTTCAACTCGAGATGGTTGCGGAACCCATTAGCAGCAGGAGCAGCACTGTCAAAAATCTTGGGTAACTGAACTGGCAATTCATCATCATCCTTGCACTCATCTAAGTGTTTCTTGACATTTTCAGCTCCCTTCAAACTTTCGGGCATAGTTCCATAAGAATGCTCATTTAGATTAACAATTTCATATATATTGGCTTCATGATTTTGGAATCCTGAACGAGGGGAAATTGTTCTGTTCTCCTTTCCAAACATAGAATGTCCAGTTACAATATCTGTCTCGATATGCTCGTCAAGAACTGAACTAGTTCCAGAGGGTATATCAGATGTCAATGGTTCTCCACTCCTCATCCGCTTTGAGGTTCGAGTCTTGACCCCTCCCCATCTAATTGAACCATCTTTGTATCCTTCGAGAAGGTCGAAATGATGTTCAGCTTTCGCAGGCTGTCCAATCTTGCTTCTTTCCTTTCTATCACCTTCAGTATCATCAGGAATGTATCTTTCGTCCTCAGAGTAAAATCTATTTGTTTCATCATGTTTGCGAGGAGCTGAAGATGATGAGCCCGCCAGAACAGTGTGGCTTTCAAATTTGGATATACTGGAACTGCGATTGGGTAACTTCAGGATTAATCTCCTCTTGCTCCCTGCATTTGAATGAGATCCAGTATATGGATGACGCTTATCTGCAACCTCAGACTGATCTAAGGATATTTCTTTCCCTTTTGAATGTTCATGCCATTCATTTTGCAAAGAAACATCCGATTCTTCACTATCGAAACTTGAATCCTGCAGAGTGGATTCACTTCCTGATGAATCACTGCTGAATCCATTTATTTCTTCTCCTTCTGTAGATGTTCCCGTAATTCGAGAGAACAGATGAAGTGCATTCCGTGCAGCAGCTCTCTGTGGCCTTAAAGACTTCAATGAAGACTTTTTCTTGGAGGTTTTTCGCCCATTTCTTGATTTCCTGTTAAGATTGTTCCTCAATGAATTGTCATCGAACTCCAAATTCTTCCTCTTAACACGCCTCCCAGAAGATGTCATGATCTAAACATAAAAATATGGAGGACAAAAAAAATGAAAAGTGTAATCAAGGTTGAAGCATATACAAAACAGAAACTGAAACAAAGAAAAAGAGATCTACCTCTACTTTCTGTTTCTTCCTATTTGATCTACAAATGTAGTATCTGTGAGATTCTTCTACCTCACTGTCTTCTGCGCTGCACTCAGGATCGCCAGAATTGGAACTTAAACTTCCTCGTTCACCTCCAGATGAATAATCCTCTGTAACATTATACTCTGAATCATTATCATCACTATGTATCTCAATTTCTGGCTCCCAATCCATTGCATCCACAAAATGGGGAAGTGGATCAATCAATATATCTAAGTCTGCTATGGGAAGCATTTGATAATCTTGGTTCATGCTGAAATCAACACCAACAGCAAATCTTATAAATGATGGACGCCACTCAATACCAAGAGCTCCTAACCGCCGTTGCTGGTACATGCTTTGATAAGGCTCTGGGTATGGAATCATGCCTGTAATTTTCCAACACAAAAAAATCATTGCACGAAAACATTGACATTGAAAAATAGCATCGCTAATACAAAATCAAAAGTTGAGCGGAAAAGGAGTTTAAAAAATACCTGAATCACAAAGGAGATCTTGCATATTCCTCCGGTAAGGAGCAAGTTGTGTTTCCTAAATCAATAACTCAAAAGGTTATCCCAAAGCTTGAACTACATAAATATTCTACATTTTTGTGAAGATTTAAAAAGGAATCATGTCTGCATTGAGTACATTGATAATAGTATGCTATCAAATATCTCCTCTGGGTAATTCATCCCGGTGCATAACAGTTAACGATACACTCCCAAACAATATTATACAATTGAATTGTGTATAGACAATTGCATCTACAAATAAATTTGTATACATACGAATTTTATTAAAAATTTGACACATTGCGGGTAAACATCAATGAAACATCACAGGTAAAGCAGTATTAATATCAGACATGATAAGTCAATGAGCCGTTATGCAGAAGATGTATAAGTAATAAATGAAGAAAGAGATAATGAATAAGAATTTAAGAAACAGACAACTAACCTGGTCAAGGACATTTCCATGTGTATCTTGAATGAGAGGGCGATAATCCCCTAAGAAGAACTGTCAACAAGAGAAGCATGACATCACTGGTTGATTAAAATGGCATACAACTCTATGCTGGTGATTTCCAAATACCTGATCATATTTGGCATCCTTTTGAGATTCACCTTGCCCTGTATTCAATATATATAATTGACCGACATCATCAGAAAGAATAATCGACGTCCCATCCCTGGATGGTTAGGATAATCACAATAGAATCAATAGTAGAAAACTCAGAGGCAGCTTCAAGTTACTAGTCATTTACAGTAAATGTGATGGTCATCAAAATGACAGAAATTGATTTAAGTTTTCTGGCATTCTAGTCCAAAGTTACTGAATCTAAATTACACACCTTCAATATCATTTAAAACTTCTTAGCTATACATCCTTTATCACCTTCCCCATCCTGACACATACTAGCACCAGCATATGGGATGAGACGACTCAGAGGCGGATACTAGTTACTTGTCATTTACAGTGGAAATGCGGTGGTCATCGTATTTTAAATTTTTCTGTCATTCTAGTTGCACAATTTCGAAGATAGATTCCACATCTTCAATTTAGAACCTCTCAACTGAACAGCTTTTATCCACATAAAAGTCACCAGCAAATGACATGACAAGAACTTCTCTTGTATCTCGTTAATAAGTGCAACAAACCTAAAACCTTCCCTTCCCATCACCATAGCCACCGGGGATAACATTTGCACTTGATCCACATTAGTCAGATGAAGAAGCCTTAAACAGTTGTCACTTCATTAATGCATTGTGCTTCCAGGACTTGTACATAGGTCACAATATTGAATAAAATTCTCACATAAAATTGTAATTCGAAGGTTTCTCATGATGGGTAATGCGATTAATGAAAATGTTCATACATGCTAGAAAGGATTTGAACCAAAATAAACAGAAGTAACGAGCCAGAGCAGTAAGAGAAAAGAAAGAGAGAAACTCAAATATTTGATGATCAACTTACGAAGAAAACTTCCCATCAACCAGCTTGAAGCGACCAATTTCATAAGTCCGAATTGGAGTGCCTTCCCATATCTTCAGATATATAGAGACAAAGGTAAGGCATGAGTAGGAGCAAATGAATAACATCAGTAAAGCTAAACAAAAAAACATCCAACAATATAAAAAAAAAAGCAAGAAGGCTCTGTACTTACATTCCACACTATCAATTTCCCATCATATCCAGCACTCATGGCTATACGAGGATTGAAAGGGTGAACATCCAGAACATAAGTCTGCAAAAATCACAACTATTTGTCAGTTATCAAATAACATAGTATCAAACACGCTTATGTTTCATGTAACAGATGAAGCAACAAATATAAGCAAGGGAGAGTTATTTCAGAGCAGGAAAGTACTAAAAGTGAAAGATGTTTGGATCCGATGATCAATTGGACCATGGAAACATGCCAAAAAAACATTTGAAAATATATTATGTAGGTTTAAATTGTATCAGTAAGCTCTTCAGGTGCAAAACACATCTAGAATACAAAATCGCTAAAACCAAAATTCAGAAAATTGGGGAACAGTAAAGATAAATCAACAAAATTTAGCTGCGAAGGCAGGAATGGTTTTTGATCTTTATATATGGATAACTTTAAATGGGTGAAATTGCATCAAATCCTTTTTTACCAGAAAATCTGGAACGTTTTACAATGATGCAAATTGCAAGGACGTCACGATTTCAATCAATGCATACAGCTAATGTCCTCAATAATACTTGTATGGCAAAAAGAGATGGATAAAAGCAAGATGGTATGTAGAGCAAGGGGAAAAAAATTGAAAAACAACAGGAAAGTTAACCAAATGGAAATGCAGTTTGTTTGATTTTCAAATGCACCATATCTCAGCTTCATACATAGGTTTTCTATTTGAAGCTCAGAAAATATTCGATGTTTGACTAAATTGCAATGACGCATCAAGAAAACTTGCAGAAATTACGGGCACTCAAAAAAATATTCCACAAGTTCATTAATTCAACAGTAAATAAGTTTGAAGATGATTTGCTATATTATCTTCCCACTGAGAACAATGTAATCCAGAATGATAACAAGTATCAGTTGCAGCAGTAGTCAGCACAAGCTGACTAATTGCAGAACAGAAATAAAGACCATGAGTAAGTGTTGAATTAGGAAGGTACTTATATCGAAGCATTAAATTAGGAAGATACTTATATCAAAGCAATAAAATAACATTAGAATTATTTCCAGCATGCAATTCTAATTTTTTTTCAAGTATTAGAAAATACAAAAGCACCCAAAAGCAATATAATCATAATGTCATAACTAGTATTCCTAAAAGATCACAACCAGCTAAATGACTTACAGAATCAGTATGACCAGTGAGAGAGTGAACTAAGCTACCATCAACAGCATTCCAAACGCATATTCTGCAATCTGAAAATAAAGAATCACAAAGAAATATATCAAGCCTAACAAGTATGCGATAGCATAGAATTTTCTAGCTTTGAATATGCAGTGGGAAAGTAAGTCATCACAAGCAACTCTCTAGAATGTCATCCCAATAACAGCATAGCCAAACCATTGTATTCATAGTCACTAAACCAGTAACCTCACATTTTATACAAAATAAAACAAGATCAGCTTAAACCATCAAAACTATGAGCAAAAAGGACAGAAAGATCTCTAAAGCTAACTCAAGAAAATTACCCACCAAAAATATGGCTATGAAATTATAGAAAATTAGATGACAGATAAACTGAACAACCAACACAGAATAAGATGTCACTTTAAAAAAGATAATCCACCTCACTATTTAAAACAGAAAATCATATCTGAAATGCCAAAACCAAAACATATCAACAAACTACTCATGTATTTATTTACACAAACTAGGCTACATACCCATAATAGCAGCAAGGACAAAACGATTGTCCAGACTCCATGTAATCATGTTAACACCACGAGGTGTAGGAAGAATTCTCTGGCGTGGGCCCCCTCGAGGAGGTTGAGGAGGCATTGGTGGTGGTGGAACTTTCAGATGATATGCTCGTATCCATCGCCCAACTTTTCCCTAAAATAAGAAAATCAAGGTATGTCAACTGAAAAGAAAATGAAAAGTAGCTGAAAAGGAACAAAGGCCAAAGAAAGAACTACATTATATTCACCGATTACTTTCTTTAGACTCGTGTTGAAACCTGCTTTACCAACAAAGAAGAATTTTATCCACACATTACACTGAAAAAAGGGTATGTGCTCACATGTGATCTACGTGATCTTGGTATCCAAATGATTGCACTTCCATTGCGAGAGCATGTGACTATATTGTCATGGTTGAACCTGAAAACCAACTATACATGAACTTCTTTTAATTTCTGTGGTTTTCATTTTTCCTCGTTTTGAGGGACCATATAAAACTCCTTGAATAAATACTGGAAGAAATAATTTAATCATCTTTTAACATAAAGGCGATATAAGATACAATAGTGCCAGAAAAAGGAGATATCCATTAAGAAAAATCTTTCTTTTCAAGCAAATACAAACACACCACGTGTTTTTGAATTTTGGGATGCTGTCTTCCTTCTGAGCATCAGAGGCAGAAGATCTGGATACTACAGCGCAGCCACTGCATGACCACACAGCGTACTATATAAGTACATTAATGAGAGAGCAAATCAGCTGTTGGTAAAGTATCAGGTCAGACAAACCTGAACTGTACATAATTTACATCATTCTCATGTCCAGCTAAAATATCCATCTCATGATTAGGTTGCTCTGAATCATCAGCAGTGGATTTACAAGCATTCCAAACCTGAAAGGCAGCTTCCCATAAGTACAGAAAAATATTAAATTTGCAGATATGCGAACCAGAAAAATCAAGTATCAAGTATTAGTTGTTTTGCTGACAAGAGAAAGATAATTCCATAATATAATATAACTTCACAGGAAATGATCCACTAACCCTTGCAAGAGTGTCCGAGCTGCCAGTAACAAAAACAGTTCCACTGGCATTGAATGCACAGCAGAAAATTTGAAGACTTTGTTGAGCCGTGCCGGTTGATGGAACATTATTTCTCCCTAAAATTATTCAAAGGATTCCGAAATGAAATTGTTATAAAGAATCAATTAGTAGTAAAAATGAGTCGTAAAAAAATCAACCAGCAACAGAATCTGAAGGTTTTGGTACATATATTCTTGCACTGAACTGGGAATATCTAGCATCCCAAATACGGCAAGTTCCATCATCAGATGACCTACAGCAGAAACATTAACCTGACGAAGTTAAACAGTAGGCATTTTTTAAAAAGTAACATTAAAAGTCTGAACAAAAAGGTCTAAGAAGCTGGACAGCAGCACACTGCAAATGTTAACAGGGACAAATTAATCTTTCATGTGTACCATAGACACACAGATACAACTGGCTTTTATAGACATTGGTGCTCGAAAGTACACATTAGCAAAATACATAATCAAACAGCAATTCAGAATTTAAAGAGGACCTCGTAAATTAAACATCAACTAGAAAAGTTGAACGTCAGCCCTCGGCAACAATTTTGATGTTGAATCACCAAATTGGTATTAAGACTAAGGGGATGGCTAGGGTTTAGAGTCATTGGGAGGCAAGGAAGATTGCATGGTGTATACTTATAAGAATAAGTACTGAAGCTAAGAATAGAGAGATCATGGAAACATGGAAGATCTGGCACAAGGGATTTTAGCTTGTGGGGAGAGAAGGACGTTCTGAAAAAGCAGATGGGTAGTGAATTAGGATGTTGAACCACATCATCTAAAACTTAAGCTGTTAAGTGGAATCGACTTGTTCATTAAATTTTGTCATCCCCCCCACCACCCTTCCGCGTGCAGGCCTGATTCAAGAGAGCCAAAGCAAAATAGCTGGAAAGGCCATTAAATTAGAGGCTCTCGATCCAATATCCAGAGAAGTATTTATCGAGCAAAGTGCTATTTAAAATCCTATACTGAAAATTTGAAAGAAGCGTAAGCAGTTGAATGAGTTAGCCCACACAATATACAAGGGTAAAGTTGGTAGAATTACATCAGAGCAATGCCAAGAATTCTTGTTCTTACTTCATAAATGCTTGAACAATTATACGAAGATCCACGGGCCACCAATGCAATTGGGTAACCAAAGCAATATTAGAGAGGAAGGAAAGCCTCACTGATGGCTAGAACCAATAAAGAGGAGACACTGTTGAGCATAGGAGGAATAGCAGATAGGATCATGCTATAATAATGTCTTGAGCCTTATAGTTATGGTGTGCGCGCGCGTTGAAGTATTTCATGTTTCGTCATGGATAATGTATTATGGGCAAAGTTCATTTTTGATAGGGAGGAGCAGCATGCAGGCAATGGAGATGATATATCAAGGGATTGATGCATCAATGATATAACCAGTTGCACCTAAGGAAATCAGCGTCAATCCAAAGAATAGTGGGAAGCGCAAGCAATACTCAAGGAGATGCTTGAATTAGTGGTTCTGTTTTCGGGTTAGAGAGTTGGCAGAGGTGAACAGGCTTCGCTATGGATGTGGCCATGATGGACTTGGAGGAGACCAGAAAGGTGTAGGACACCCATAAAAATGATTTTAACGTAATCAAAGATTCTGTGTCTAGGAATATGTGATGTGCATAGATTGAGGGCTATACTGGGTGTACACGGTTTTGGTTACCACTCGGATTTTATGTGCTTCATGAGTTTCAAACCTCTAACTCGCACAAAAAAATCCAGAAATATAATAACTCAAGATGAGCCTTACGACAAAAGCTGATAAATGGCACTTGGTCTAGGACTAAATGCAATAGCAGTGACAGCTCCAGTGTGACCCCGCAATACAGAAATCGGCAAACCATCAGGAAGGCGCCACTGCCATTTACGAAGAGGATAGTCATACAGCCGATCGATGTCAAATAAAATAATTATGTTTTTGGCTAAAAAGGTTCTTACAATTCGGATGATGCAGTCATTTGAAGCAGAAGCCACCAAAGTGTTGTTGTAGTTCACAGCCAGGTCAGTAATGTCACCCTTGAAGCATAAGATGCATGAAACTGAATACCCCAAGGAGAGCAAGGAAAAAAGTGAGCCCTGAGGCTATTGACCGACTGTTTTAACTTACTTCATGTCCACGACAGCTGGCCAAGCAATATGCAGTTTCCATTGACCAAATCTTTACGAGGCGATCATCTGAACCAGTGATAACATATCTCCCTGATCGATCGAATATGGCTGCAGGCATGCAAAACTTTTAGATTATGAGCTAAAGTCATTGCATATCAATATATTCTACAAGTAATTCACTACTATACTCAAGTTTGACCTATCATTCTACTGCGAGACTGATTGCAGAGTCAAAAGCACAAGAATGCATGGTTGTAAAATCGAGGCAATTTGACCATCACCTCAACAAAAAAAGACAGCCAGAAAGACGGTGGAACAATAACAACCATACCAATTACTAAGACTCTAAGAGGTATGAAACTCATAAGAGGAAACACAAGGAAGAAACATGCTGGGTAATCATTTCCAAGTTCACACCTTAAATCTAGTTGCACTCTGCCTAAAATCATTGTAGCATTCAAAATGTATACCTTGGATGCAGAACTGAGTCAGAAAATTTGGAGGTATAACTCCAATCTGGACTTAAATATAATAAGGATGTGCAGCTCGCCCCCAAGAAGAGTGGGGCGATCCGAGCCGTTTGCCAGCTTGCACAAACGGGCTCACGAGCCAGACAAAAAAATATTAATTTTTAAAAAGAAAAAAAAAAACTAAAAAACGTTGTGGGGCGAGCGGCTCGCTAGCCGAGCCAGAGTTTTTTCAAAAGAGCTGGCTTGTGCTCTGCTCATCCCAAAGCGAGCAAGAGCCGGCTCACCTGGTGGGCCTAGCCGAGCCCCATTAATATCCTTAACATATAGCAAGACATGAAATACAATCATAATATTCTTCATTTAAAAAGCTTCAAGTAAAATAAGAAACCACAAAAGGCTGAATTATATAAGAGAGATGCGGCTTTAATATGCAACTTCCAGCACATAATCCTCTCTCTTGATAAAGAACAACATATAAATATTCCCAAAATGAAAATGCTTGTTCACTTCAAATCTACAAAGAGAAAGGAATATAAAGTGAAACCATACCGCAGTAAACAGCATTACGGTGTCCTCGGACTCTTTTAATATTTTGCATCTTATGTACCATAGTAGATGGTTTTGCAATGGCATAACATGCAGCACGAGTAGAAGGGGCACGATGATGCCTAGGAAATCCACCACCTATTTCCCTTAAACTAATTCCACGCACCTGATCAGCTAGCCTGTGAGGCCAACGCATGTGGCCTGGGGGATGTTTAACTTGACCATCCCCCTTATTTTCATCACCTTTGAGAGGGAGACGGAGAGCATATGAGTTGACAAAGAAAGCTAGTAAAAATAATGAACAGCAGAGACAGGATAAGAACATAAATTCTTCATTCACTCTGCTTTGAGTTTCCCGCGTTAGTAAAAAGAGAGCGCATCACTTTGAAAGTTCAAATTAATTTATACAGCATTACCCGGGATTGCTTTTAGATGAATCGAGGTTAAAAGATAATATACAATGGACAAAATTAATATCACAAATTATGGCCACGTACTAGCCAGAAGTGAAAAAGGACCAGTTCCGAGGAGAGTTGGGACAGCAGATGCATTTAATGCATTCCCACCAATCAAGCCTTGTGAAAGATCAGCTGAACTTAGTATCAATTGCTTCAGAAGCTTTACCAAGTGAATCGTTTCAATGTGAGGATATCTAAGTAAACAAATCACAATAGCAACCGTCAAGTCCTGTACGAAACTTATTCTTCTATACATTCAACTCAAAAAAAAAAAAAAAGAACACTGGTGCTTTCTCATAATTTTAGTAATTCTGATCAACCAGTGGTGATGCAATTATACTAAGGGTGTGTTTGAGCCAAATTATTTTGGAATAATGTATTTTGGAATAGTAGATTGATGGAGAATGTGTGGTTGGATAAGAAGGAAAAGTTATTGATGTGATGGAAAATATTATTTTATTGAAGAATGTGTGGTTAAAAATGAGTAGAAAAATGAGAATGAAAATTTTAATATGGTTCAAACAGGGGCTAAATGCATATGTGACCAGCAGCAGTGCTTTGTATGAAACAGCTGGCTACTGACTTGGACTAATATAACAGTTTCCAAAAAAAACTCTCAGTAAACCAAAATCAAAAGATAGAATGTAAAACTCAAATGGAAAACAGCTATAAAGGTTATCTACCCGGATGCGAAGTAACAGAGATTACCTTTCCACCAACTTATTATAACTTAATGGGAAAGACATGCCATTGTCATTTTCATCTCCACTCTGCATTCCAGTACGTGAATACCACGCGTGATATCTTCTAGGTAAAAGCTGATGCTCCAGAAGTTCATTCCATAACTGCCCATAAGTCCCGTGACATGGTCCAGCTGACAGGAAATGCATAATCAAGAAATAAACCTCTCTGATGTCAATGTCCACATCAGCTTCTGTTGGTTTTCTTTCCTGGACTGTAGGCTGGGCTTTTCCATTTTCCTTACTGGAGAAACGCAATGACTTGATATTGACAGAAGGAGCATCGCCGGAGGGAACATAGTTCTGAAGAGCCATATCCTGCAGAATCTTGAAGCTGTTACAAAGTAACTATATCACAATCTTCATTTCTTATCCCACAGGAAGTGAATCGAATTTTATATGCCAAAATCAAAATCCAGGAGACTTTAGGATTTGGTTTAGAGGACTCAAAATACAATTAAGAAAAAGAAGGCTGCTTTGTGACCTTGCTGAGGGCCTGAGATTATCAGCCAACAAAGACAAACACCTTCCATTAAATTCCATTTCATTACAAGCGATATTGGCCCCGGTTCCATGATCTTAGTCAAGAGCAGCATAATCTCAACCATAAGCCATTAAATCTAGATTTTGCTTTTCAAATGAATCTTTTGGTGCACACCACATCGACCACATTTTATGAAACATGACATTTAATATCAGCCGTCCAAGTCTGTGAAATCCATGAAGATGGAACATTCATGAAAATTGATTACTCACCACCAAAAGATTTTTTTTTTTTTTCATTTTCATAATATCGATAAAATACTTGTATCCCAGTTACATATTCACAGCATTCATATACAAAGCATAACAGTGGGATCTTAATGGTTCATAATCACATTCATCAATCTATATTAAAAAACTTATTCATTATAAGAATAGAGGAAATGTAAAATAACGGAATTGTAAAATAATACAATCACTTAATGCATAATAACCAACATGTGCATATCTATGCGAGTGTATTGCACGAACATGCTTGCTAAAACTAAAATAAAACCAGCTTACTAATTAAAATTATTTCCAGATTTACGCAAGAGATTAAAAAAAAAAGGACATTTGAAACTCGATAAAGAACAAAAATAAAAGGACAAACCTCCGAATGCTCAGAATTGTTGACCCAAAGGCCAGCCACCGGACATTCCAAAAAGTTGACTCGTTAGCATTCCACTGTAGCATTGGAAAACAAAACCCACAAATTTCAAGTTATTCACACTTCACACTTCAGACAAAACAATCACAAACAATTTAATAAAACAATTAACACCATTCGAGATCTAATCTAACGCATGCAATAAGCCCTATAAAATTATTAACAAAACAGAATACAAAATTCCCCTTTTCACGTAATTGGACAACTTAATATTTACCTTAACAGAGTGTACGATTAACAACAGAACCAGGTATTCAGGGAGTGACCTAAATTGAACCAAACGCCAGAATGGAGATCGAAATTAAGAGAATTTTTAAAATGAAAAACAAGAATTAATAAAATTCAATTTCACTGGAATATAAGCAAAAGGAGGAGATTGTATTAGGGCTAATAATGAATGAAATTTACTGATTTTGGTTTAGATATATTGGAGGGAGCCTTGAGTATTTTTAGTGAAACACTGTGTTTGAGTTTTTTTTAGTGCAAGTTTGAGAGAGAGAGACAGCACCTTATATATAACTTACGCCCCATTCCAGGACCATTGGTGAATTACATGCCGTGAGGTGGAAATATTTGGAAGATAAATAATTTTTCAATTGTACCCCTATATTTCTTGTGATTTTCTATTTTGATACCCTTATATTCTTATGACAATTCTTGGACCATAATTTAAGGAGTAATGTTATTCATCCCCACTGGGGATGAAAACACAGTCTATGTGATATTAAATGATAGATTAAATGAAAGGTGAAATTAAATGACTCTTATTTAAGTTGTGAATATGGTTGTTGACGTGGAGATATGGCACATAAGGTCAGCGGGGATAGAATGCGGAGCCAAATCATGATAGTCAACCTTAAATCTCGATCTTCTAAAAAATAATAATTTGATTTGGGAAATTACATAACATTCATTGCTTTTCACATTAAAAAAATCAGAAGTCGTGTTTGGCTGAAGGACCATGCATGGCCGACCCCAGCACAACAAATTACAATGATAGGCTCGTCCCTATCATAGGACAGTGCAAGAGCCCGGCTCCAAGGGCGGATCCAATACCCGACGACTCCCAACGGCCGCCCGTGTTGGATCTGTCGGGAACAAATTTTTTTTGTTGACAGTAGATAAAAGTTTTAAGTTATATATCTTGTGATTCATTTAATTTTCAAATATTGCTTGTAACGCAGTTGGTTCGAGTTTATACATATAAATTGGAGGTCCACGAATGGAATCACTTTCAAACCAATTTATTGTATAATTTTTGTAGTTCTACGATTTTTAACAAAACTAATGTAATAGGGAGGAAATTTGAACATTTGACCATCATGGCACTTGTTAAATTTTGAAATTAAATTTAACATAATAATATATATTTCATTTTAGTGGTTTTAATGCAATTGTAAGAATTTGAACCTATGTTATTCCTTTGATATATAGGAAATTTGACTGCTATGTCTTTTGATGAACATTTAATTTTTAATATTTTATTACGACTGACGGTCAACGGTTAACGATCCCCGTGTTGACTCAAAATTCTGGATCTGTCACTGTCCGACTCTTTATCACCCCTACGTTGTACCTTAGACCTTGTTTGATCCTCATTTTTAAAAAAATACATTTCTCTCTCTTTTCTTTTTAACCACATATTTTTCGATAAAATAATATTATACACAATCCAAAAACTTTTCTTTCATTTTCAACTATACATTCTCTATCAATATACTATTCCAAAATGCATTCTACCCAGATAATGATGCTCAAAAAGGCCCTTAATCAAATTTGGAAAATGTAGTGTTTTAAGGCCTTGCAATTGTGACTATAATTTTGGATGGAAACATCTTATTTTTCTTTAAATTGTAAATGAATTATTTTAATAGATAACGAACTTGTTAATATTGCCCAACTACTTTTAAGAATGGGGAAATTACACCTACACCTGGAATTAGATTTCTGATTTCAGAATTAAGGTCACAAATTTAACATTTCAAAAATCAGGTTTTTTTATGTCTAATTAAATAATTATTAAATTTCATCCCAATTAATAATTTAATCCCAAATCAAACCTAATTTCATCATTCATCCCGTCCCAATCTTTTCTCATCCCCGTTGCTCTCTTCTCCCTCTCAGTCGCTACAGCCATCGACTTTCTTCCCCCCTCTCCCTCTCTCGTCTTCACCTTTCTTCTCTCTCTCTACCCTCAGTCCCTCATCGTTTTCTCTCTCTCTCTGGCCTCAACGTGTTTCTCTCCTCTCCGTCGTTGTCTTCTACCTTTTCCCTCGCTGACAACGCTAGCGCTCGAAGTGTTGGATGGTGGGATGGTGGTGCTCGAAGATCCAATCAGTGGGTGTGCGGTTTTGTGGCTGGGTATGTGGGTGTGTCGTTGCTGCCATTCCTGTGAGTGTGTGGCTGGGTGAGTGTGTGAATCGGAGTGGCGGGTGATCTGTGGGTGTGTGGTGGATCGGTGGGTGTGGCTGTTGTTGGTGGTTGCTGCTGTTGGTGGCGGATCTTCTGTTGTTGGTGGTGGTGGCTGTTGTTAGTGGCGAGTAAGTTGGTGGCGGATCTGTTGTTGGTGGTTTGGGTGGGTTGTGCGCGGCGGTGGTAATCGTGCGGTTTGGGTGGCAGTGGTTGTGTTTCTGTGCGATGGGTGAGTTTCTATGTGATTGTTGTGTTGCTGTGCGATGGTTGGGTGTGTGTGCGTGTGACGGGGGTGGTCGTGCTCGCAACGGTGGTGGTGCCGCTGGTAGAGGCAGTGGTGAAGTGATGGTCACGATTGATTTGATTGTTTGTGACCAATAATTTGGTTGGTTTGTAACCAGTGAATTAGATAAAAAAAAATATATCTAATTAAATGTTAATTAATTATTAAATTTCATCCCAAGTAATAATTTAATCCAAAAATCAAACCTAATTTCATCATTCATCTCGTCCCAATCTTTTCTCATCCCCGTTGCTCTCTTCTCCCTCTCAGCTGCGATAGCCATCGACTTTCTTCCCCCCTCTCCCTCTCTCGTCTTCACCTTTCTTCTCTCTCTCTCTACCCTCAGTCCCTCACCATTCTCTCTCTCTCTCTCTCTCTCTGGCCTCAACGTGTTTCTCTCCTCTCCGTCGTTGTCTTCTACCTTTTCCCTCGCTGACAACGCTGGCGCTCGAAGTGTTGGATGGTGGGATGGTGGTGCTCGAAGATCCAATCAGTGGGTGTGCGGTTCTGTGGCTAGGTGTGTGGGTGTGTCGTTGCTGCCATTCCTGTGAGTGTGTGGCTGGGTGAGTGTGTGAATCGGAGTGGCGGGTGATCGGTGGGTGTGTGGTGGATCGGTGGGTGTAGCTGCTGGTGGTGGTTGCTGTTGTTGGTGGCAGATCTTCTGTTGTTGTTGGTGGTGGCTGTTGTTTTTTGCTGTTGTTAGTGGCGAGTAAGTTGGTGGCGGATCTGTTGTTGGTGGTTTGGGTGGGTTGTGCGCGGCGATGGTAATCGTGCGGTTTGGGTGGCGGTGGTTGTGTTTCTATGCGATGGGTACGTTTCTATGTGATTGTTGTGTTGCTGTGCGATGGTTGGGTGTGTGTGCGTGCGACGGGGGTGGTCGTGCTCGCAACGGTGGTGGTGCCGCTGGTAGAGGCAGTGGTGAAGTAATGGTCACAATTGATTGGATTGTTTGTGACCAATAATTTGGTTGGTTTGTAACCAGTGAATTAGATAAAAAAAAAAGTGACCAATAAATGTTGTGACCTAAACATTATTAATCTGTGACCAATTATGGTGGTCACAAACGATTTTGACACTAATTATTAATTGTGACCAAAAAAATATTAATTTGTGACCTAAAAATTATTAGTTGTGAACAATAAATTGATAAATTGTGACTTATAAATTTTGGGATCTGTGACCGATGAACAAATTGTAACTTTTAAATTTCTAAGTTGGACCAATAAACAAATTGTGACTTATGAAAATTTTGAATTGTGACCAAATTGTATAGATTCGTGACCTTAACATATTCGCCGGAATCGGATCAATCGTCGAAAAAGTAGTCGGAACGATAGTCGGAATAGCCCCGGAGTTGTAGGGGCGGTGGATGTAGTAGAATTAAATATTAATACTAAATTAATTTTATAATTATTATTTCATAATTAAAAATTTAAAGAACCCTGATTTCTGAAATTTAAAACATGTTTTTGTATTTTTGAAATTGGTAAAAGTAAATCCCTTATTTATGTATTCTTCCCTTTGAGAATATCTCACCCAACAATCCCAATAATAAGGCTCTTGGGTTTAGCCCATCTACAAGGCCCGATTAGTCTATCTCAATGACTCAGAAGCAAATATAGCTTGGTAATAAAAATGTTTCATATGAATGTAACAAAATTGTTTTGTTGTGCCGAGTGATCAAAGATAGATGGTCCACGAATAGGCCCCGACCATTCCTTAGTTAACTATAAAAGTTCCATACATGTTCACATAGTATGTGTGGAGACACGTAGAAAATATTTTAAGTAAGTTCTTGAAAATACTTTGTTGACAATTCAAGTTATCAAGACATTTATTTAAAGTGTTTCTTGCATTGCATGATTTTTTAGCAATTTTTTCAAGGAACTTGTCTCGTGTCTGCACACGAAGGCGGTGCATCGAGATCAATTACCATTGTTGACAAAATGTCAAAGAATGTTAGGAAAGACGAATGATGTTATATTAAACACATGACGTCAATTTATTACAAATTTCACATATTGATAATCAACAGAGATTGAACTACGTGCATGACTTCAAAGTCAGAATAAAAACACTTTAGCTTGTGTCACATCGACTAGTATCAGACGTTTGACTTATAAAACGCTCAAAAAGGAAGAGAAAGTGGATGATTCATCAGTCAACTCATGACCCTTTCTTCCCAACTCAGAGTCAGCGGAAGAATTCTTGATATTTGTCATGTCAATAATCTCACATTTGTTTTACATTGATCAAAAAGGAAAATAACTACTAAACGAGTATTGGAGTGTAAATGAAAATTGTTGATACTTTTGGAAGTTATTATATATTGAATATTTGAACATATTCATTTCTTAACTTGGACCCACCATAGAAGGGAAATATTTCCTTCTCAGTATAGTTACTTCAACTATTTGTATTTAGCTTCCAAAATATTTGACAAGATCTTAATTTGGCACGAAACTAGCAACTTTGTTTGAAAATAATAATTTTGCCCTTGTTTGATCCTCATTTTTTGGACAAAATGTATTATAGAACTGTGATTTTTTTTAGAATATTAAAATACGTGTATAATTATTTTATGGAAGAATATGTAGTTGAAAATGATTTTTTTTTTTTTTAAAATGTATTCTTAAAAAAATGGGGCTCAAATTGACAAATAGGGGCTTTAAATCATGAAAGGCCAACAATTAGGAGCATGTTTGACTAAGGCTAATAAAAGTAAAGTTACATTTAAATAATTCTTGGCTTGAATAATTTATTGTTCTTAACTTACTATCAAATTAAGTAAATTATTTATTTCTAACTTATATTAATAAAAAATAATTCATTTCAGAAATTTACCGGGTATTCTCAACTAATATTTAATGATTTTTAAAAGATTATAAATTCTAATATATTTCATGCATTTCAATAAATTTTCTTATCCACAATCAAGGGGTTAAGTTAGGGAACGTTTCTTTTTTGTAGGCTGGTTCAATCTATTACTCTTTCCTTGTGCCTATGAACCAACCTACTTTCTGTATAGGGCTTACGCGACGACGATTGGAACAAAGTCGAAGGTCCCATTGTATTCCAAAAACTCGTAGCATTGGTTCCGATAAACCCCAATTTAATGTTTCTTCTCCTTCGATAATGCCTATGCCCTCAACTAGTTCTAAAAAAAAAGGATTCTATGTGAATATATAACCTACAAAAAAGTGGGCTAATTCAACCAATTTACTCGGACAATGAAAAAAGCCACAAGTTTATCTCTCTATTGAATCAAATTGGCCAAAGGTATGCGTTCATGTAGACTAGGCATATATAGAAAGCCTATTTTTTTGCATTTACTAGTAGATTTTTTTCTTTATTTTTTCTTTCTATAGTGGAGAGAGTCACCCGTAATGATAGATCACGACCATATTATTAAAAACTTGAGGTAAGAAAGAGTTTCATTAAAATCTCAGTTAAAAACATTTCAATTACTTTTTTCATTTTATAGGTAAATTTACTTAAATGCAAACTCTTTGCACTTAGCCAAACATGCTCTAAGTCTAAAAGGACTCGAATAGAGTGTAAAAGAGCCACATGAAGACAATCAAAAGTAAAAATGAAACATCTTGCAATAGAATAAAAATAGCTTCATCAAGATATAAAAAATAATTTTAATTCTTGATACACACGTAAAAGAGGAAAAATCTTTTTATAACAATTTTCTCAACTTACAAAACCAACATACCGATGTGATCCAGTTGATCAAAACCAAAAATCACCTATTGTGGTAAACCAAGCATGTAAAATGTGTCTCTAAGTTATCACGCACCTTATACTTCGATTTCTTTTTGATCATTCTATTTATAGTCGTTATCAAAATTAATAGATGTCTTAATGTAACCAACGTAATTGATGATTTACCTTATATTTTTTAGGAATAAATAACTCGGTAACAAGTTTCACTCGTCAAGTCACAAAGTTTATCAAAAAGGAAATAAATTCGCTAATTTTGGTAAGAGTTACATGCATAGCATCTTACAGCTCCCATGACCATTTTCTTTTTGTGACGACGATCTTCCGAGAAGAATGCCATCCTAACACATTAGGCAGGACCAATAAAAAGATATCATACAGATATTCGAAAGGCTCGAAGTGAGAGCGTTTTCTCCAATCTTGTTTAATGACTTTTGAAACAAAAACATGAGTTAAGTAATTAAATTAAAATAAATTAAAGTAGTGACCGTCACGAAACAAATCTGTATATTAGGTGACCTCGAATGAAATTTTCTGTCGAACCGACGGCTCGTCGACCGTTCCACTTAGGACTCGTATGTCCCAACAGCTTAAGTTATCCGCGCTTATAGTTCACACTGTACGAAACTGGACGAAATAAACTGGGGAGAAGACTCATCTCGCTTAAAGCTTTACCGACTCGTTTTCATTCAATCAAATATCATTCACTCCCAAGAGTTCAATTCCAAATCGATAAAACGAAAGTATTTTACTCAAGATTTCAATTCGATTACTTGCCAAAATATATAGCAAAAAAGGGAAAAAAATTTGGGGCAGATGGAATCATCCGTGATAACCCCAGAGGATGTTTTGGAATCGCTGATGAACGACGGAACAATCGACGCGATTAGATTGAAAATCATTAATCAGTTAAAAGCCAATGTAAGTTCATATGTACATTTCTGTATTAGAGCAATTTCATTATCGTTTTTGTTTAAAATTATGGAATTGATCATTTGAGCTGTAATACCAACTTAAAACATTAAGTAGCTCGAGCACTTATATGTTTGATTCTAATTTTCATATTACTGAGAAGTTGAATTTCACCCTAATACAAGCTCTAGCACGTAAAGAAATTTAATGAAATTTTGATTATTCTCTTTTCAGATAATGGGGTTTGTTATTGGGATCAGAAAAGAATTAGTGTTGGTTTTTTAAAAAGAGAATATTTTGGCATATTTTTGAGTGGACCCATTTCTTCTGTTTGGAATATATTAATATCTTTTATTTACTTCGACAAAATGATGCGGGTGAATTAGAAATTGAAGTCCACAGTGTACCGTTGGAAGTGGTTTAGGTGTTGGAGGGAAAGCAAGGCAATGACTACTTTATGTTTAGCCACATTTTATGAATTTGTAATCATGTGTAGCATAGAGGTGTGCGCGCACAGCGGTGCAAAGTCTATCCATTGTCCTTTCGCTTTAGTCTAGGATGAGCTTGGGAATGTAGGACGACAATAGAGGTTCAGTATCTAGAATTTTAGAATAGCAATCATGAATCTAAAAGTTTTAGGATAAAAAACTACGATATAATACAAATAACGTCAATGAGTCCCAAATATTGTCAAAAATGATGATTTATTATCCTCTTATTATATTTTCTTTATTTATTGAGCAAGCAGAGTCACTTTATTGTATGAATATAAAAACAATTGGGCTGTTTTTATTCTTATAGATGATTTAGGAACTTGATTTATTCTAATAGAAGGAACAAGAAAATAAACAACTTTACTTTCATGCAGGAGGAGTTGAAGAATAACACTATAAAAATGGTGGAGCAGAGTAAGGTTCTTAATACTCCTGGTGCAGAAAAACAGACAAAGCGCGAACTGTTTGATGCAATTCGGCAGGAGCTTGAGTAAGTGACTCTTACTATGTACTCATTGTTAAACATACTTTTATGTAACCATGTTGTGAAGGCTGCTTGCCTTAGTCTAGGTGTAGCATGCTGATGAAATGGCCTTTGCACTTCTCTCAGTCTAATGGGATGTTATGGTCTTGATTTGATATAAAGTCATGAAAGACATCTTATGACGAACGGCATATACCATTCTGTTGTAGTAATCCATTCATTGAGCTGAGAACCACGGGGTCATATTGTTCAAATCCTTATGTTTTCTTTCTTCTAACCCGTAATTTGGTGGCTTTGTTAAAATTAGGGGGTGACCCGAATTTTTTTGTTGAAGATGATTGAGAGTTCTAATTAAAGTACATATTAAGAAGAATTCTATTTGTAATGTAATTGTTGAATCCTATTCAAGTTTACTTGGCAAATCTTAATTGAAGTTCTACTAGAAGCCCATTGAGAGTAGAAATTTGAATTGGACTTGAAGATGACATTGGGATGAAGAAAATCAAGTTTTTGGAGAAAATCATGTGGATTTAGAGTTTGCTTCTGTACCATTGAAGTCTAATTTGGGGTCTTCGTTTAAGAATACATCTCAGCTGAATTTTGAAAATATGGGTAAATTCACTTGCCACCATAATTGACGGTGTAATCGTATTCAATAGCTAGAAATAAGCCCAATTTTGGTCATAAGGTTCCACATATGTACAATTTTGCTAATTTTGTTGATGGTTTGAATGCGATTAAGGGTGTTAATTCTAGACAAGATCCTTCTTTTGATGCATTCCGTTGTGATTCTGTCATATGGCAGCTTGTTTCAGCTTTGTTTGGTGGCCATTAGATCACTTTTTCCTCTAATTGGGGTAGCAGAGGTTGAGAATATTTTTTGTTGGAATTGTTGATGGAGAAGTCTGTTTTGTGTTTTTTCATTGAAGAGTTCAAGTTTATTCCTTGTAGTGGAATTTGTCTTCAGGGGGAGAATTTTTTGTTCATTACATTGAAATTCGTATCAAGGTGGAGATTATTAGAATTTGAATGTGACATAAATTTTTTGTTGAAGATAATTGAGAGTTCTAATTAAAGTGAACACTAAGGCCCTGTTTGATAGAAAACGTTTTCCACCATTTTGTCATGTTTGATAGGTTTTTTATAGGGAAATTGTTTTCCCTCCCACCCTCACACGTGCACACTTTCTTTGGTTTTGTGGAAATGATTTTCCCACCTTTTTGGTAGAAATTTGAAGTTCCAGTTTTTTTTTTTTATTTTTGCAATTGGAACAAATTTCATAACAAATTGTAAAAAAAAATTTCACTTTAATGGACAATTTCCATGTAAAATAAAGCCAAACGAATACTAAATTTNTAAAATAAAGTCAAACGAATACTAAATTTTGATGAAAAATGATTTTTTAGGAAATTTTATTTTATTTTTTTTACTTTTTAGCAATGGAAACAAATTTTATAACCAATTGTGGAAAAAATTATCACTTTAATGGACAATTTTCATGTAAAACAAAGCCAAACGAACACAAAAAGATTCAAAATTTTAAAATTTTCCTGGTAGAAAATTGTACCAATCAAACACACTTAATTAATAATTCTTTGGAAAATAATTTTTAGGTAATTACTTTCCCTGAAATTCATTTTCTTTCCATCCATTTTTCACAATTGCAATCAAACGGACCCTAAGAGTCCATTTGATAGGCAAAAGTGCAAAATAATTCTAATTCCATGTTAATTGGAAAATAAAAACCCACCAAACCCATAGGAATTGATTTTCCATGAAAACAAAAAAAATGCAGCTTAAAGTGGTTGTACCTTGGAATTCGGTTTTCATTTCCACGTTGCAATCAAACGGCTAAAGTGGAATTCGTTTTCTTTGGATATGACATTTTTCATGGAATTGGAAACAGTCAAACAGGGTCTAAGAAGAATTCTATTTGAAATGCAATTGTCGAATCCTATTCAAGTTTATTTTGCGAGTTCAAATTGAAGTTCTATTGGAAGTCCATTGGAAGTAGCAATTTGTGTTGAATTTGAAGAGGATATTGGGATGAAGAAAATCAAGTTTTTTGAGTAAAGGACTTGAGAGTGGGCGTCATTGCGCCAGAAGAATCCCAGCATCGTGGCGCTGCTGCACCATTTGTTCGACCTCCATGCGCTGGTTTGGTGTCTTTTTCCCTTTTTTACTCATTTTTGACATTTTACTTTATCTACAACTCTACTATAAAGGTTTGGACTTTCCTTAATTGTTCCCTATATATAGTTGGCTCTTCGTTATGACTTAGTAAGAAGTTAAACAAATCATAAACACAAAATTTTTGTATTATTTTTCCACATTATAATAAAATCTCTATTCTCTGCAAAATTACATTGTTATTGTGATCTTTACTTCATATTGTGGCTTGATCTCTTATCTTTTCACAACAAACTGGTATTAGAGTGTTCCAGTTTTCATGACTGTCTTGAATATTACTTCAGCCACTTCAACCGAATTCAATGAACTTGAAGAAGTTAGGACTCCGCCAATCCTACACATTCAACTCGAGAAATCTGAATTCTCTGTTAAATATGTACTTGTACAAGTTGACAAGCATAAAATAAATTTGATTTATCCCAGTATCAATTCCTTGGAAATATGATATGATGTAGAAGACATAATGCAGTGAGATATTATTTGCAGAACTCCTGTGCTTGAAAAGGCTTCTAAATCTGTGTGGGAGTTAATATTGGATCAGAATGGTTTGGGGAAGGAGATCAGCGAACTTGTTGAGAAAGTCTTTTGCCAACTAAGTGGCCGTGAACCTCCATTGTTTCCTCCAACATGCAGTGAAGCCCATCCGGAGAAAGAGAGAGATGATACACCAACCTCTTCGTCCAAAAAGAGAAGTTTTAGTGAGATGAGCAAGGAAGATACAGATGAAGTTGCACAAGTTTCAGCAGACGAACCAGTTGTACCACAGAGTATTAATGCACTTACATCACCCAAATAAAGAAAATGAAGCGAAAATGAAGCACGACTGTACCACTCTGTGGACGAGTTTTTGTTTATTTGCACTGCAAGAAGAATCATTCTTCCTGGAAAGGGATGACACATTAGTGTTTATTCTCTCTTTTTCATGCCAAGTGTTTAAGAATAGTTGCAGATGCGTCAGTAACATTTTAGTTAAATATGGTGAAATGGAAGTTGAGATGATTGTATTAACACTTTCCACCTTTAAGCTGCTTGTGTTTTATTTGTAGTAAAAAAAAAAAAAATTATATAATGCCCTAAGTCTTAGCTCTCTTTTTCTTCTTTAGTACTATCTTTTTGTGGCTGCTGGATTCGAGCCCAGGTCTTCATGGCCACATCGTGAAATTCTTACCGCTAAACTACAGTAACATTTGTGTTAAACATCTTAATATCTTATAATTGAATTTAGTAATTAGGCCTTGTTTGATTCCTATTTTTTTCAAAATACATTTTTCTTCCTCTCCCTTTTTTGTCACACATTCTTTATTAAAACAATATTTCACGTAAATTAAAAAAAAAAATTCTTCTTTTTAACAACACATTCTTTGTCAATCTAATATTCCAAAATATATTTTCCAAAAAGAATGGGAGTCAAACACCCCCTTAGTAAATAATATATTAATAATACATTAACATGTAACCCCTGTTTGACCCCTATTTTTTCTCAATACTCATTTTTCCAAAACTTCGACCACATCTTATTCGATAAAATAATTTTATGTATAAACTAAAAACTTTTTCCTATTTTTAATCACATTTTCCTCCAAAAAAATGGATCTCAAACATGGGCGTAGTTTTGCCTAGTGTTCTAAAAAGCTCGTCTAGGTGGTGTCTAAGCACCACCTATGCTCGAAGCTCGGGCAAAATGTCTCACTTCAGGTGCCTAGACGTTTTGTTTTCAATTCCTAAATGGTGGAATTTCTTCTTGCTTTTTTTCGTCTTCCCTGTACAAGTTTTATTATTTTATTATTTTTTTCCTTTTTTAAAAAGTCTTTTATTTGTCTTTAGCTTATTAATTTTTTTATTTTTTTTACAAAAAAATCATTTGACTTTAATTTCATATTTTAAAAGATTTTATTTGTACAAAAGTTAATAATGACTTTATCTAAATAGTTAGATAAGATTTAAAGTATGATGTTATCTACATTATGTAATTATAATATTGAGAATCATTATTTTGTTACAAATTCTAAAATCAAGTATGAAGTTTTTATAAATCTATTAAGCATGACTTGTCTAGTTGAAAATTGAAATTATGAAAAATATTCTAATTCTTGCATTTTGAAAATTTGAAAATTTGAAAATTGACTAATGGTATGAATTATTAAATAAATATAGTATTTTATAATTTTAGATGTTTGATATGTATTATTTTAATTATTAAATAATATTAAAAATGATTAAAAATTTAAAATAATATTAAAAATAAGAAAACATTTTTTTACGCCTAAGTTTCGCCTAGGTTCACTTAAGTAAGGAGAATTTTTGGACTTATGTGTAATGTTATTTTATTGAAAGAATGTGTGGTTAATAAAAGAAGAGAGAAAAATGAATTAAAATTTAATCGGCCAAACATGGGCTTAGTCTTCCACATTCACTACAGCCTCCCTACTTGCGATATGTGTTTTTGCATTCGAGTCATTTGTGATCTGAACCAACACATTGTATCTCATTCTTCTTCACATAAAAGTTCTCCTCACAAGAAATTCACAAGGACAAATTAGTAACTAGTTAAAGAATCCTCATATGAATTAAGCATAATACAGAAAACTTCACTGAATGCAAGAAAATAGTTCTACAGTCGTTGAAATCTCCAAGCAGATATAGAATTGATTCGTGTCCCCTTCCAGCCAAAAATTAGGCATTTTCCATCCAAATCAATCGAGCAAGAACCCCCACAAGCAAAGTTCTTAAGGAGAAGATTCGCTTGATAAATAGAAGACACGCTCAACCGTATCTCCACCATCCCAAACTGTCTAAAACATTTCCTCCAAATATCTATACTCACATGCCGATACTTTCTTTCCTCTCCCTCAGCTGCTATGATGTTCCTTATGACGGGACTAAAAATTCCTGATTCAAAAATGGTTCTATTTGATTCATCATGCTTCATGCACTCTCCGAGGATATCAAAGAATGCGCCATAGAAAAAAAGAGCTTCGACAAAACGAGTCACGAAAAAGGGAGAATTGTCATTTGCCTCTGATTCAATGACAATCATCACTTGAAGATTCATATTTTTAATCAATTTCAACAAAGATTTCAGTCTATCTGGCTGTGCAATCATATTCTTGAAAACGTATGCTGCATAGACCGCGATTGCTTCATCAGCATCAAGATCGAAGAGACTTTCATTGAGATCTAGGATATCTTCTACCATGATTGTTTTAAAAGAAAAGTTCAAGTTCATGGACTGTGCAAAGCTTTTTAATTGTCTGCCTGTCTCCTCAATCAACGGCTGAGAGTTTGTTCCAATAGCAGTTATCTTAAGATGATCAAGTGGACATTTAGATCGAGCTGCAAGAGCTTGCATTAAAATAGTGAATTGCATCCCATTTCTGATCTCGAGATCAATAATATGTACCTTTCTAGAGTTTGCTACATGCTCAATTATTGATTGAATTGCAGAGAATTGTGTAACCTGGGAAAGAGGAAATTGTTCGTGAAATGCAAGCATGGTAGGATTCAGATTCATCAATTTGTTTTCCACATCGAATGACTGCTTCTTTGCCAAAACCTTTCCATTGATTCTTCCAGTTTCCCTATCGATCTTATCATACAGAGCGTCAGTGAAATAATACACTAATCTTTGGATGGTACTCCTTTTACTGCAGCTCTGCGTACGGCAACTTTTAAGGATCTTGCTTGCAGAATCATACTGCTTTTTACCTACCCTCTCAGCACAAAGTAGAAGATCTTGAACAAGTTGAACATCTTTGTCGATATCTTCTTTGGCGAGGCCTAGAAATGAACTGGCGTACGGATGGCTAAGCACAGAGAGCTCATCAATGCTAGAGGAACTAGATTGGAGAAACTTTTCTGCAGCCAACTCGATAATCCAATCAACTGATGATATCCCACAATTGATCTTACTGCAATTTGTTTCACGACTCTGTACATTCAATCTTCTGAGCTCGCTCTCATAGTTCCGTAAAATCCCAAGGGATTCAGAAGGAAACACACAAGACCTTTCCTTCTTTGGTTCATTAAGCTCCGAAGTTTCAGACGTGATATCAACTAGCTGATTAATATCCTCGCTATATTGAAAAGGAGGAGAAACAATATCAAGATGCAAATCGTTTAAAATCCCGAACTCTTCTATCAGTTGTTTCTCTTGCTGATATTTGTACAATGACAGATTTTGCAAGGAAATATTCCCCTGCTCCTGAAAGAACCCAAGGCTCGAACCCAACGAATCAGTTCCCCACGACTCTACCCAATTTTCACTTCCACGCATGCTATTTCCTATAACTAATTTCCTCCCGTCCTCATTCTCAAAAGCCTCAGCAGAATTATTTTTATCCATAACTTCAGACAAAACAAACTGATGTGACCAACTATTTCACTCAAATCTCCATTTAAGATGCTGCAGGCATCCTTGAATTATCGCCTATATTATACTAATAGAGTTGTTAACAAGTTTGTTTTCACAACATTACAAGGCTGTATATTAATTTACTGTAAATCCCTTATCGATAGTGATTATTTCCTTGTATAAAAATCAATATATGCCGTACTATACAACATAAGAACATCAGTAAATAGTATCTTTGATACGAGAACAGATTATGCCCCTGTTTGGCTCATATTTCTTAAAACTCATTTTTTCCCGAACTCATTTTCAACCACATGTTTCATAGGATCCGCAGCTTGTATCAACTCTTTAAACACACATTTCACCAACTTTTATCAAAATCTATTTTTTATCCAAACCATGTAAGCTATAGTTTTAAAATACTGTGTTTATGTACAACTCTTATAGTACAGATGAAACAATCGCTTAACGAGGGTTACTTCGAGTAAAAGACCACATCCATGGGTCACTCAGCTAGGAAAATCCAGCCCTAAGGAGCGGTGAATTGTAACGACTACTTCTAAGCCTCACTGCTCATAAAAGGCATGCACTAGGTGTAATATAAGCACGTTAGGCATGTCATTACAAACCGATTTTAAGGCTCGTAACACATATTTAAGGAAGTAGTTTTCTTCTCATCTCCTGCAGTTTACATTGGAAATTATGGTATTAAATAAACAAGGAAAATCAAGACAAATCAAAAGCAGACAACCAGAACAAGCAAACAATGTAGCAGGATATTTTGAAAAAAAATGGGTTTTTAACTTCAAACAAAAATTGAAGTACATTCTTCAAAAGATATTTTAGCTTAGAACAAAAGAAACAATCCAAACATCACAATCGAAGCTTTCTACTAGGTTGTTTCTTCATGTTTTTTAGTGAAGGATGTCGATATAATCCTATTTCTGGTTCCACATTATGTATAATAATTAATAGGTATCTATCTCTATTGTCGAGTTAGGCGGAGACAATTTTATATTTTTTTTGTAAAAAAATTGTCGTAATATGTAAAGACTTGATTTTTTTGTTTTTTTTTTAAAACAGTGACAAGTGCATTTATATAGCACAACAAAAAATCTGCAGAAGAGCTCAAAAAATCTGTAAAAGAGCTTAATTAATATCAAGAAAAAAAAAGGTATTACCTTACATGTTTTCTCATTTGTTATGTACAAGGTTGAAACATCCAAGTCAATAACAGTTTTTAAGGCTTAAAAGGAAAATAGATTATCTTATTTATACATTTTTATTCAAATCAAACATGTGAAATCAATAGCTGACAGTCTACAGTATGGAAAAAAATCCCACCAAAATATAAATGAAATTGGTTGTGAATGAGGAATGACAGTGGTCCAACTCCTCCTGGCTCATCAAAATGTTGATAGGAAAGTTTCCTACACATTATCTCA